TCATTCCGTAAAATCCAGTTGAGTTGATCCATTTCCAAGAATTGATTATTGATGATTGAGTATCGTCAAAGTTGCACGTCGTACCTACTACCTTTTCAGATAAGGGTTCTGGGCTGGAGAAGAATAAGTACATTTATTCAATCAGCTGAAACTGTGGGATGTGGTGGTAATATTCGTGGAGAGGCAAAACCTGGCAACTAGGCCACCTTTGACCATTTTGTCGACCCCGTATCAGCATCACTGTTCGTGCTTATCTACTGGTAAGTAATCATTGAATAAACTAGATCCAGCAATCCGATATACCTATTTGCTCTTCCACAAATCTCGTGCACAGGGAGCTATAGGTGTTGGGCTGGGTCCATAACTCTGTTATGGCGCATGGCATCTGGAAAAGTTGGAGACAAGAATTGTAACCAATAGAATTCTCCTTTTTTGGTAAGCATATATTTTTAATAATGATAATTATAATAATAAAGGGCCTCTATTTGGCCAGCGGGTGTTCAGCTTCATAGCTCCTTTTGAATACCAACCAGGTACCAGGTTACCTTCACGGGTTGATCCATTACTAAATACAGGGTGCGGCAGAGAGGATGGACAGTTTTAAAAAAATCATAAAATAGTTAATTTTTACTCGAAAACAAATTTATTGATGGAACCAGGTTCACAAGGAAATAGCATTTGGCGCGGCCGAAATCGTTGATGCAGTGCTGGAGGCGTTCTTGGAAGTTCGCGTAGACTCTCTCCAACATCGCTCTCTCAACTTGGGCGACTTCCACGCGAATTTCGGTCTTCAATTCGTCCAGACTTCGGGGTTTGTGGTTTGTGAAAGTGGGCTTCGTCACTCATAAACAAAGTGAGGTTCTCATTTTGATCGATCAGTACTTCCATCTCACGTACGAGGTTCATTCGTTGTGCATAATCTGCGGGCGGTAACTGTTGCACAATGGCCAATTTGTAGGGGTGAAAGCAGAGATCCATATACAAAATTCGCATAACCGAACGTTTCCGGGCAGATCGAGTCGGACTGCGAAGAAAGACCTGTCGAACGCGTTCAACATTTTCAGGAGTTCGAACTGTTCGCGGCGCTCCTCTTGGTCTTCTGTTGATCAGTTCACCACGCCTGCGAAGTGATTCAACCCAACGAAGGATGGTGTTTCAAGAGGGAACAGCTCTATTTCGATGAATGTTGAAGTGGCGACGAAACTCACGCTGTACGACGATGACTGACTCATTATTTCGGACGAAACAGTCATAGGCGAAAACGCGTTGCTCCACCGTCCAAGGCTCCATAACGACAACTGGTAAAATAATACTAGGATCTCACGAGTCAAACGGCACCCTCCCCACCTCTCTCGCAGACGGAAGCGGAGAGTACTCCCCATCCCAAAAACGTCCGTCCTCTCTGCCGCACCCTGTATATCTACTTTTTTAATGGGAAGATCTCTTTTTAATGCAGATTTTGATAAGCCCTTCAAAGGAAGCAATCTTATATAACATACTGTACAGGGTTTCACAACTGATCCAACTAATTTTAACCACATATGTTACGAAAGAAGTTGATTTCTCAAAAAAAAGTCCTACAGAAATCGAGATAATAAAATAATACAGTTCACTTTCTTATAAAAGCTGTTCAAAATTGTTTCCATTGGCTACAATGCAAGGTTGGGCGCATCTAATCAAATCTCGGCACACTAATTCAAATTCACCTCCTTCCTGCTATGCCTGAAGGCTTAAATAATCGGCAGCCACTGTGATTCGGTCACGCAATTCTTCAATATTCTGAACTGTAGTACGGCACACCTCGTGTTTTCAAGAATTCTCATAAAAAGAAGTCCAGAGGATTTAGATCGGGAGGCAGTGGAAGCCATGCTATTGGTCCACCCCTTCCGATCCAGCGTATCCGGTATAGCTGATTCTGACGAGAAGCCGCTCACAAATTTTGCCCTGCTTCTCCGTACGCTAAAACAATGTCCTCTAACTCATCATTAGTGTACACATGTGCCATTTTTATTAATAAATAACTAAAGACATAAAGTCGCAAAATACTTTCTTAGTTAACTTCACAAAAATCGACCGTTCTTCATTCAGATCAGCCACGATACATATTAAACCTTACACACGTTTGTATTAGTTTGAAAAAATAAAAAAATCCCGATAATTGGTTTTCGTCAATTGTTTGGTACATCATTTGCTACAATAAATTATTAATGCGTGTTCTAATATCACGACGATGAACGCAAAATACATATATTTATTTTAGAATTTATTATTGAAACTCAGGTTTATAACTTCTTTTTTCTGTAGGGATTTTATTACATTTTTTTTCTGAGAGATCAACTTCTTTCGTAACAGTGCATATGTGGTTAAAATTTGTCGGATAAGTTGTAAAACACCCTATATATTTTCAAGTTGTTGAGATATTGGGCAAACTGTCGAAAAAAAAAACACTCAACTTTGACAACTCCCACCTACGCAAGGGTTATACCTAGAGTACTGAATTTTCGTCAGGAAAAAAATACGATCCCCTATTTTCTTCCCATCTGCTTACTTTGGGTACCCTGCCCATAGCTCCTGGATACACAGAGGACTTTTTTTCTGATCATGTGTGATTAATCTCGCTCACTTTCTCCTTTTCATTCTACAATATGAACTCGGCCATTGTACATGGATCAATTTCAGCTTGTTGTTACATTTAGGTACATCTCCTTTCCATCGGGACAAGTGCCGTGTATTGAAGGTGGAGAAGATGGCGGCAACTGGGAATCGCTCGAACTTTATTCCTTGGCATTTCACAGGGTCCTACTCATCTTCAGATTCTTACGGGGGTAGGAGCTGTGTATGTTACATTTTTGGTAACAGTGCAATATGTTCTTTTTTGGTTAAGTAGATTCTGTTCCCAGTATTACTACTCCTCTGTTACGCATAATACATTTGCTGAATTGAAACACTGATATTGAATATAATGTTCACCGCTCGCGACCGCCCGATGACACTAGTAAGTTGACTCGCCTCAGCGTAAAACGTTCAGGACGCGTTCGCAAAGGCTGGTGAAAAAATAGGCATGTGGCTGCATCAGTTTTTTGTTATACATGTGTGTAGTTTTTCCTAAGATGGGCTAATTTGACCTCCCATTGCTTTAGTAGCTACTGGTACATGTTGTGTTACCTTATATAAACAAAAATGGAAAAATATGGTAATCGTACTTACTTGGTTAGAAATCTGTTTTAAGTAGGTTGACTCTATTTCTCACATGCAATGGATTTAGCTGATGTTTTTGCTTGGAAAGTATAGATCCATGCTACTTGACGCCATTTGTTACTATGTTCCAAACCCAAATACTCAGGTTCATATATGAGAGCTCCTGTGCGATCACATCGCCTGTAGTTGATACAGAGAAAGGTAATCTGACTCATTGATAAGATTTTCATGAGTCACCAGACCTGTTTTCACATCGACAAACGTTCGACGATCTAGCACTTTTCTACTGATACTCCAATTTACCAGCTTTTAAAAGCCTTTCTGATGAAATCGGTTAGAACTGACATTCAGATTGTTCTAGCATTGCCTGATCAAGCAGACTACATAATCTGTACAGTATGTGCTTTGCCTTTTCAGCTCGCTCCAAGCACAGCCTGAACCCACCGTATTTCGCCATACCCAGATAGCTCATGTGGTGACGTAATATATTTCTAATGGCTCGTGTATAGTTCCTCTAGGTTTCTTATATCCCATCTAGCAGTGAATGTTTCACCTTATAAAGGATAAGACTACACATGGGGGTCAGTCTGTCGTCTACTGACTTCAGTCGGTTCAGAACTAGATTCAGCAAAACTGATTTACAAGCGAATGGTTACATCATCCATTTCATCTATTTGCAATATATGATGAGCTTTGTAACGCACTCTGTGTATTCCTCGTACTGTAGTGTACTTTATTCAGGTCGTAACTCGTCTAATCATCTCCGCGAATGCAGTTAAATATATGTTGAGGCGCCGACCATGTTCATGTTCATGTTCACACATAAGCCATACGAGTCCACACTCGCAAGGCGGTCGTATTATTAATTATGCTGGACGAGATGATGTCGTCGCATGCGTCTTCAGATTATTTTTTTCATTGCACAAGTTTGAGGAACCAGTGGTGTGCCGTTTCATACAGTAAATGCTATAAAATGTCTAGAGAAGGTTGTTTGTCATTTTTGATATTACACATACTAATCGACTGACTTGAAACTGTTTTTATTAAGAGTCTTCTCTTCCATGACCATACTTGTCCTGTTTGGTGTGTGTTATCGAAGTGGACTGTATTTTCTTATTGAACGTTTACTGTTTGTAAGCTAAAAGAAGATGCGTTGATTTAATATGGTAATGAATTTTGATGATGCCTTCATAGCAGTCGTTCTTGTCAAAAGTAAGAAATTAGTTACGACAGCGGCTGCTATGCCATTTTTGCAACAAAACTGGTTGCCCATGTATCTATAGAAAATTTTCAGTGCTCTTATTTTTCTGTTTCGTTATGATCTTGACGTTATTCTGGGCTTGCGCAGTAGCAAGACAATCCTTTGTTCTCCGTTATCAAAAGAGCTCCGCTGATTATGAAAAATAAGACGGTGATTATCCTGTAAGGTTATATTTTCCTTATTGAGTCGTGTTGCCGGAATTAATAACGCTGGTAAGGTTTATTTAAGAAAATTCAAAGTTATAAAAACATTGACAAAAACCTATAAGAAATGTGTATATCAGATCATAGATAAAAATGAAATTAAATATGGCAAGGAAGCTTGTTATATGAGTTCTGTGGTTCTATTATAATTCCAAGTCTATTCATATTTTGACCATTTTGAGGCAATAATAGCACCAATGTTACCAAAACTTCATCATGCAAAGTTTGTACTAAATTTTGAAATTTCAGGGTTACCTCAAGATAAAAAACGATTCGTTATAATTCTTGCACTAAAAGCTCACTTAAATTGATTTTAGAATATGTTTCCTTTTCCTAAGAAATAATCCAGCAAAGACGCCACTGCATTGGAGCATGAATCACCCAGATACCATCTACGTATGTCTAGTTTCAATCGAGATGTTGAGCGCGCGCGCTCCGAGTAATTTGACTCAAGTGCCAACAGTTACTTTAAATAAGAGAAGATTTTTAGAGGTGCTTGAAACGGATGAGGCTATAGCACCATTTTTGGACTACACCACGTTATCTGGGGGCGGGTGATGATGTGATAAAAACTCTCGTACTTATTACCTTGACACGGACGTGATGCAAGGTCTAAATTGTTTAGAAGCGATTTCATAAAAGTATCAATTTACCAATTAGATAACGTTATTCTGGAGCACAACAGTTTATTTTACTGGTCTAGACACTATTCCCTACTCGCAAGCAAGAAAAGTAGTGTAGAAGGAGCTATGAGCATCATGCATACTCACGTAACTAATTTCTGTCTACTGACTGTCTGTTTGTTGGTATCTCGTTCACCTGTCCATTACAGCATAAGCTCAAACGCGGTTGTACAGAATTTGATATAAGGAAATTATTATATGAAGTCGCAGCAGATATGATTGATTGATATATTTGAAAAGACGGTTAAGAACTAAACACTTCATATCCTTTTTGAGCGAGGTACAAACAGACTGGAGGAAGAAATCAGACAGCTAGAGAGATTCCAAACACCGTACCTGTTTATGAAAGGATAATAGCAACAAACAGTAAAGCAATTAGGTTAAAATGTTAGCTTGGATTGTTTGATTGCATAGGCATCGTTAACACTGAAGCTGCTGCGAAGGTAGAAAATCAAAGTACCGGAAGGAAAAGAATAATGTACGTTATTTTTTTTAAAGTGCGTAGCTTTGGGTTTACAACCAGAAAAGTTGGGGAATTTATAAATCATGTAAACACAGATTTTCAGGGTACTTTGCTCATGTATCTAACATATTTTACATGTTTGTCCACCAATAAAGGCTGTCGTAGTAACCGAATCGCTCCAGACATGTGGTTTTATTTACTGGAAGAAGGATGGGAAAAGAACAATGCCGCTTCCAAAATGAATGCATGCTGAATAAACTACAGAAAAGAGGATGAATATCAATCATCGTAAGTATGTCAATTCATTAAGCATCGATTTCGTGCTGTAATAACGTTCCTTTGAAGTCACATGGTAAATTATAAACTATAAGGTTTTCTCGGTACAAAACCAGCACATTCTTGAATAGCTATGATCCTTTGATATATTACCGTACTGCTTTCAATTAACTATGACTTTCTACAGAAGATAATAATAATAATAATAAATGGCCTTTATTCGTCACATAATTACAAAATTATTGGCTTAAAAGGAATAGTGACGAAAAGGTTGAGTGTCAGCTTATGCTGTTTTTCAACCCGGCCTAAAAAACATTGACATAAACTATAAAGAGAAAAAAAAGTACCTACATTTAAATGACACACTTCACAACAATGACCACCAAAAAGAGAAAGCTTAAAATATCACATTTCTCAGATAAATCAATTACCTGTGGATACGCGTAAAGTTCAATTCTAGCGATCCGATTGCTTTAAGCTCATCTTTAACCTTCTCTAAAATTGCTTAGGCTATATGAGCCCATTGAATGCAAAGCTCTGTATATGCAAAAAATCGAAAAATGAGATTTTTTATTGGTCAGGTAGATAATAGTAATGGCAAAAGAACTGTAAAGTGAATTAGGTGCAAAACTCATCATTTCGTGAGTTATTAAGCCTATAAATATTCAGTCAGATGCAAAACTCTGTAAAAATAGATACATGTCAAATGCAAAACTGCGTAATTAGCGTCAACCAATCCCATTGGAGGATTTTAATCACGTGATCAATCCTGGAACACCAGCGCGTGTCTATCTCGTATTGTGTTTATTTATTTTCAGTTTGAAGTTTGAATTCTTTAGTCGTGTGTGTGAAAAAGGAAAAAGCCGAAAACGACCAGTGAGAAAAGAAAATTGGAAAAGGTCCAAATTAAAAGCGCAAAGGTACGTTTGACTGACTTGGTTCATAGATAAATAATAATTACCAAACTAATATTGTTTGCAGGCGTAGGCCAAAAGGTGTACCTGAATATCCCACATGCCGCTATGACAAGATATCTACTTTTTCATGTAAGAAGCTATCAATGAGTGATATCCATCGATTTCATAAGCTAATTTATTCATGCAGCAGTAAAAATGAACAAGACATGCTTATATTAAAATTTTGTGAAGGGGTACAACCCAAAAGAAGTTTTGGAAAGAAAAAATCAATTTCTATCCAGTATTATATTTCAAAAAATGTCGGGACTAGAGTCAGAGTTTGTAAAGCCGCATTTAAAGGGATTACTTTGCTGAGTCCATTCAGAATCGAGAGACTAGCACGCAGTCATCTTTTGAAACGAGAAGCGCCAACAGAGAAGAGAGAAGGAGGCCGAATTAAAGACAAAAATGATCAAGTTAAACAATCAATAAAAATGTTTATCGAAAGTCTGACATGTGCAGAATCCCATTATAGATCATGGTCATACAAGTAGATTATACCTTCCATGTGATCTTAATTTCAAGGAACTCTATGACATTATTGCGTCCGAAATAAAGACCAAACCGTTAGATTATGCTATTTCAGAAATTACGTCGATCGCAACTACAACTTGGCTTTTGGTACTCCACTAACAGATGCGTGCTCAACTTGTCTCCGTGCAAAAGATTCTATTGCAAAAGCAACTTTCCCCGAAGAAAAAACAAAACTAATAATCGAACACAGGTCTTAAAAGCTAAAGCCTTTTACGGTATGCTCAAAAATGGTCAAGAAGATGTGGTAATTTTCACATTTAACTGCCAGAAAAATTTGGCATTACCCAAACTTCCCGACCAGTCGGCATACTTTAGTCAGCAAATAAACCTTTATAACTTTACGGTTGTTTGCGATAATTCAAAATGCAAGTTATCGCCAGAGAATGTAAAATCTTTCGTGTGGTTAGAAACGGAATTTGCAAAGAACTCAAGTACTATTGCATCAGCTGTGTACAATGTTTTGACGACAATAAACAAAGTTCAGCTTTTTGCAGATGGTTGTGGGGTGCAAAATAAAAACACCACCCTAATGTCCATGTTAGCATATTGGCTTGTAATGGAAGCACCTGCTCACATCAAGAATTTGGAAATTATATTTCCTATGGTAGGACACTCTTTTTTGCCCCCCGACCGAGTGTTCAGTTTAGTAGAGAAACAAATAAAAAAATAAAATGTTATCGTTGATCGACGTGAATATGAAGATATTATAGCAAAACACTCTACAGTTCTGAGATTGACAAATTGTGACTATGAGTGGGAAATCTTTAACCGGAAGACTGAAGCTGCTAGAGTAATAAAAAAACCGGGACACTGGTATTTCAAATTTAACGAATCAAAGAGATTTATTTTTGCGAAAACACAAACACTTAATGCTACCATTCAAGTTGAAATTTTATACAAGTCAAATTTAGGAGTTCCTCGCAGCGTAACGAAAAGAAATAATAAAATTTCAGACATGAGACCCAAGAAGATGAAGATTGAAAACTTTTTGAAGGGAGACAAGTCTTCAATTGACATTTTATTGAAAAACCGTTACGGAAATGAATGGCGAAATTTACCTGAGTTGGAATTCTATAAAATCATTGACAAAAATGCCACAGAAGCCCAGAATAGAACAGACCCCGACGAGGAATACGAGAGTGAAGAAGAAGAACCATTTCTAAAAATTTAATAAAAATGTTTTTTATTTATATTAAGGAAGGATGTATTTTTCGTTTTGTATTTTTATAATGTTTAAGCGAATAAATCATTCGAAAGTACATGCAGTTTTACCTATGTATCACAAGAAATAAGTTAAAACTATCGTTTCACCTCAAATGCAAAACTCGGTAAATGATTGCCTTAAGTGCAAAACTCTGCACTTGCATTTTTTATTTGCCGTTTTTCAGTCCGTTAGGTACAAGTCAAAGACTGTTGATCGGTATGATAGGTTACTTCTATTAAACACATTTTCGACGGACCGGGGAAGTAGCAGCTACGAGAAATACGTTTTTATCGTCTACTGTAAAATTAGCAAAATAGCAAGTACAGAGTTTTGCATTTAGCGGGCTCATATTCTTCATACTCAGATGATGTTCGTGTGAGGATACTTAAGGTCCAGCACTCATTCAGCAATTCGGCATGTTTGACCTCGCTGGTCTGAACACCACAAACACTGTAATTGGAATCCGGAAGAAAAAAGAAAGAGAGAAACCCCAGCTCAGACTTGGAGCAGCTCAACTATCGATCATCTAAGAAGTCAAGGCACGTGGATCGAAGTGATATAGAAAAAAACAGCCAGTACTAACGAGTTTATTACATTTTTTGTGCAAAATCCAACCGTGGGGGAAACGGAGTAATATTCTTCCCATAATGTTCTAGATAGACACAGAGACAGATAGCCTTGATTGTCTTCAAAATAGGCCGACGGAATTCTGGCTATATTACCTTGTAGGAAACATGGGTTGGTGAGCGTTCGTATATTAGTCAAAATATGTGGCTCCCTGATCTCCTGGTTATAATGCACAGCGGACAATCATCGCTGATGAACACCAAAGGTATCAAGTTAGATCAAAACTGTTGACCCGGCGACAAACAATTAGCATTGAAACAGTATTTCCATGCTCACCGAACCGTTGGTTTTTAGTGGATCTTGTGGACGAAGAGCGGTCCCGTAGGATCGAAAGCCAAGGCGTCAATCTTAGTGCAACCCGTTTTCCTGACACTCCTTGTACCTCTAACTCTTCGTGTACGGCCTTCGTGGTTCCATGCCCGACAACCACCACCGTAAGACCCGAGTAGCCTAGCTTTTCCCAGGGTGTGTTATAAATGTCCGCATGTTTCCGCACCTAAGCCATGCAGTCGGTTATCTTCCAAAACAAAGATATTAATCATGATGGATCCCTCGAGTACTAAAAACTCCGGGCGTAAACTCACTCCACTCTCGGAATGCCCGGTGGAGGGTGGGCTCGAGGGAACAACATCGAAGATAACATTTTTTTGTTTTTCGAACATCTGCGGGATTAACAGCAACATTGATGCTGTTCCTCACTACCTGCAATCCAATCGTCCCGCCGAGCTTTCTTGGCAGAGACAAAAATCTCAGAGTCTGCAGTGATTAACCATCTCAACTTCCCAAACAACGAGGTGCACTCCAATGTGAGAAAGAACGGGGATGTTGTGGCTTTTGTCCGCATCAGTCTTTCCTGCTCCTGACATGCTTCTTTGGAATCAGACCCGAAGGACATTCTGTGGCTTCGCCTCAACTCCAAACCATCCCCAAATTTATTTGCTGCCTTTATCGCTCTCCATCGGACCATAACCGGGATGACCTACTCGAATACCTCGCCGTCCAGATCGACTTCCTGAACATCAATCACCCCGCTTCCCGGTGATTTCAGCGCCCATAATGAGCTTTGGTTGGGCTCAAACAAGACCGATGCAGCAGGTCGGGCAGTACATATAAGCGTTCGCTCTTACTCAAGGGCTGACCCAGCTGGTGACGAGCACTACTTTTTTCTCCCGCGTCTCGTCACACGCAAGTAGCCTGCTGGATCTCTTTCTGATCACGCATCTTGTCCCTTACAGCACTGCTGTCCTGTCTCCCCTGGGTAACTCAGACCACGGTGTTGTTTAGGTTAGGTTTCCCCTGTGGGAACAGAAACTCGTACAGGCCGCAAAACTTGGCATTACGGACATGCCGACTGGGAGGGGCTCAGAGACTTCTTCTCTAGCTTTCGTTGCCGAGATGTCTGTTTCACTGACGTGGATGCGTCGGCTGTCTGTTCTTCGATAACAGAAATTATCCACGTCGGAATGGAGGAATACATCCCTCACACAGTGAAAGTGCCTAAACCAGGATCCAACGGCTGGTTTAACAAATCATGTGACACTGATCGCCACCAGAAGATCAAGGCACACAGAACCTTCTTACAAAGCCCCACTCTAGAGAACAGACAAGCCGACGTCCAGTCGATAAACAAATATAACGAAGCGGTTCGCAATGCCAAAAACCAGCACCATATAAAAGTTAGGCACAGGGTAGTGTCGCAGCGCAATAGCAGACGGTCTTTCTGAACGCTGGCCAAGCAGATTGAAAAGAACTTCTCACACAGTAGCCTTCCACCACTTACGTGTCAGGATGGAACTATTGCATTGGGCTCAAGGGCCAAGACGGAAGTGCTAGCCAAGATCTTTGCTGCCAACTCCACCATGGACGTCCCCCCAACGCCTAAGTGCCGTCAATTCAAAGGGTTCCCTACACTATGCGGGAGGTAACATTCAGGCATAAGACCGTAAGATCAGTGCTCTTGTCTCTCGACATAAACAAATCTTCTGGTCCGGACTTGATTCGTGCCATTGTACTGAAGAGGTGTGTAGCGGAGCTTGCTCCAGTTCTTTCGCATCTGTTCCAGATATCTTATGAATCCGGCACCTTCCCAGAAAACCGGAAATTTGCTCATGTCCAACCCATTCGAAAAAAGTATCTAAGACCGACCCTTACAACTACAGGCCTATAGCTCTGCTTTCTGTTATAAGTAAGGTGATGGAGAGGTGCATAAATCGCGAGCTTCTGGACTACCTCGAACGCCACAGCTTGATTAGCGACAGGCAGTATGGTTTCCGGCACCAACGGTCCACAGGGGATCTCCTAGCTTATGTCACGCAATTGTGGAGTAAGCTCATCCAGCCTTATGGTGAGGCTCATGTCGGTGCTCTTGACATCATGAAAGCGTTCGATCAGCTGTGGCACGCTGCCCTCCTAAGAAAACTTCCATCCTATGGCCTACCAGAAAATCTTTGCAGATGGGTGGCTGACTTTATCTCTGGCCGCAAGATATCCGTCGTAATTGACGGGTTCTCCTCTTCATCCTACAACGTCAACGCGGGTGTTCCCCTGGAATCGGTCTTGGCTCCAACACCGTTTCTCTTACATATCAACGACCTCCTTTCTTGCACGATCAACCCAACCACAGTTTCGCTGATGACAGCACTCTACATGCAGGAATTCAGAGTGACAAGCCGATCTCTGCCGCTGAGCTGGAAAAAAGGAGACTAGCGACGACTTCCTCTCTGACAAGGGACCTGGAGGCTATCACTGCTTGGGGACGCAACAATCTTCTACAGTTCAATGCTTCCAAAACACAGTACTGTTCTTTAGCGAACAAAAAGCGTCCTAGCGCTTATCCAGTTTCGGTGGAAGGCCCAGTTCTGCCAAAGAGCCATTCATTTCGGCTGGTCGGAGTCCAGATCACCGAGGACCTGATCTGGCACAAACATATCTCGTCAATAGCTGCAACTGCTGAAAAATTTAGGCTATTTGTTTAGGGCTAAGAAGTACTTTTCTCCGCATGATCTTCTCACTCTATACAAGGCCCAGATAAGGCCTAGCCTCGAGTATTGCTCACCATGCTCGAAGCTGTCCAGAGAAGGGCGATCCGACTGATCGATGACTCCTCTCTAACAGACAGTCTCGGGACTCTTTCGCACCGGC